AGGGCAACGTGCACCAGAACCTGTCAGGGAACTCTGGGGAGCTCCAACAGCCACCATGGAAAAGGAGGCAGAGCTTCCTGAAACACAGACAGGCACGGCAGGGCTGAGGCCAGAAACCCCAATATCCCAAAAGGAACCCCTGAATCCCACAAGGAACCCCACAATCCCACAAGGAACCCCAGAATCCCACAGGGAACCCCAGAATCCCAAAAGGAACCCCAGAATCCCAAAAGGAACCCCAGAATCCCACAAGGAACCCCACAATCCCAGAAGGATTGCATTGGGAGGGACCCTAAAGCTCACCCCATCCCAGCCCTGCCATGGCAGGGACACCTCTCACTGTGCCAGGCTCTCCAAGGCAGTGCCAGCCTGGTCTTGGGCACTGCCAGGGATCCAGGCCAGCCCCAGCTGCTCTGGGCACCCTGTTCCAGCCCAAATTGGGCTACCAGAGGACTGAGTTTTGTGTTTTGCTCACCTACTGCAGAATTTGGAGCCTTCTGTGAGTTTTTATGAAATTCATTTCAGTGCTGGCAGCTCAGGAAGCTGTTAGAGCGCTTTAAATAAAACCTGCAGAATATTAAGGCACATCCAAACTCACCTGCCTGAACAGGCCAACAGCACACGTGGCTTCCCCCAAAGCCTGGAGAGAACATTCCTAACAAATCCTGCAGGGATCCAGCGTGAAGGGCATGAGGCACCCTGCCCACATCCTGGGGCTCAGGCTGCTTCCCCAGAGACTAAACCAGCTTGGATGAGACAGGTAACACCTTGAGATTGGATATTCCAGGGAACTGCACATGGGAGTTCAATGGAGCCCTGGAACACACTCTGTGTGACAGAATTGATCTGCTTTGGGAAACAGCAGTTGCAGAGCATCAGCCCCAGTAACACACAGAAATCACATGAGAATTAAACATAATGAAAAAAAAAACCAAAAAGCCTGAGGGGGAGCCAGGGATGTTCCAAGCAGGATCTCTCAGTTGCAAGTGAGATTTAATTTGGTTTCAATGCAAAGTTCAGTGTTTAGACCCATAACAAACTCCCACAAACCTCATTTTTGAAATGCTTCTCCCTAGACCGGACAGACTGAACAGATACACAGAGATCTGAGGGAGAAAATAAAAATACAGAGCTATAACATTAAAAGGTAACAGGCTGGCCAAAGTGTGAGTAACCAGATGACAGTGCCAGAGGGCAGAGATGCAGCAGCAGTGCCCCTGCCAGCCATTGAGAGGCAGCAATAGAGGAGCCCTGCAAGGAGGCTCCGAGCCAGCCCCGGCCACAGGCACAAAGAACTTCACACATTATTTCAGTCACCTTGCCAAGAACTTCCCCGCTGTATCCAACACTCACCATCGAATCTGGAAGGAATATAATGCTCCTATAGCAACCAGCTGTGGAGATATTTTTCAAACAGAACAAATTGGATACAAATGCCAAATACTTTCCCAAGTAGTTTAGCCTATTCCTAGTGGGAGGAGAAAACTCTGGTCAGTGCTGTGATCCAAAACACAGTGTAAATCTGAGTTCTGAGAACTCAGGCAGCTGAAAACAAATCTGATAACCAGAAGCAGATAAACAGACAGCCAGGTGTGCACCTTCTGTTAATCTGCCAGGACACAGCTCCAGCAGCCTCTCCTTGGCAGCAGCACTTCCATGAGACTTTTCCACACTGGTTACACTCCCCCACCAACAGCCCAACTTTACACATATTGCCATGTCCCTTGGAAGAGCTCATCAGGGAATCTTCTGGGGAGGTGAAGCAGTCACAAAACACACCAGCTCTGCAGTGGCACCTGCACATGGATCACAGCAAGAGACCTGGAGGGGCTGGAGCGTGTCCAGGGAAGGGAACGGAGCTGGAAGGGGCTGCAGAATCCCTGAGGAGCTGGGAAGGGGCTGCAGAATCCCTGAGGGAGCTGGAAGGGGCTGCAGAATCCCTGAGG